ACACTGAGAGTTGCGATCCGTTGCCGGACACGAAAAAAGACAAAAAGGAAAAAAAAAAAAAAAGTGATACAAATTCACAGAATTAACAGAATACCTTCTCAGGGAGTGTTAGGCCCTAACGCTTTTTCCTTGTGACCTGCAGAGAATGCCGATGGTGAGGTCAGCCTTCTGTAGAAATCTCCTTTTTCTTGGTTCACCGAAGCATTAATCTTAACATGGTGAATGCCTCATGAGTCTCAGAATGGCTAAAGAAAACAAAAACAGCAATATGAAAATATATGTAAAGATGTCTGACTTTTTATAGCATTAAACTTCTAGAAAATTTTAAGTAATGTATCTCGCTGTGTTGGCTGAAGCCCTATAAAGTTAATTCCCTTTTATCTTCTCGTCTTTTAAAAGGAACACATAGTACATGAACTTGGATTTTCTGATAATGTGTTTTATTTCCCCTAGGAAGAAACTTGTTCCTTTGAGTAAGAAGGTGGAGCGTAGGGAAAAAAGAAGAGAGGTAACTTGTTCTGACATTCAGTTTCTGTATTTCCATTGGGAGAGAGCTGTGTAGGCAGGGTTCATGAAAAAGAGTCAGTCTGTGTAAACTGTTCAGGCCCTGGATAATGGTTCACTAATGGCTAACCGTATTAGTTGCCTAAGACGTCTAATTTTTCATGTCTTAAGTTTATGACTTTCAAGGCAGGTTAAACTATGGGTGCTTTGGGGACATATGTAATGTAGAACAGAAAGAATACCTTAATTAGAGATTCACAACTCCTTGTCTGAAATCTTTCAGGTCAAATGTTTCAGAATTCAGAATTTTAATGTTGTCTGTCTTATAAATCTTTTATATTACCTTCATCAGAGTTTGCGCATTCTAATCAAACATACTGGTATTTCTGTGGTGAAAAATAAGAATGTTCACACTAGATGGATTTTTTTTTTTTTTAATGTCTTTAAGTAGCCTCATGTCTGTTCTGGTCATATGTGGCCTTTAAATTGAGTTTTTCAAATTCTGAAATAGCTATTGAAGAACTGGAAAATACTTTGATCTGGGATTATTTGCATCTTTGAAGTAAACTGGGCAGGTTTGTTACTAAAGTAGTGAATAGTGATTGTAATACTATCTTGTCTTTGGAAAATATACTCTAGTTAGGAATTTCCAACCTCTGTCCCAGAAAATAGTCTGCCTGTCCACTTCACTGATACCTCACACAATCTGAACTTTCTTATGTTTCAAGATCCAGGGATCATCTTTTCCTTATAAGTTCAAACTTTCAGTTATTCTTGGTATTTGCCTTGCTTACCTCCCTTTCACCAACACACATTTGCCTGATCATTTGTCTTGTTAAGAAAAGCGGTAATAATCTTTTGGTGTTTTTGTTCCCTATAATGAGAGTTCTGTATCTCAACTCTGTCGTATCATTATCTCCAAACTTTCTTGTTAAGAAAAGCGGTAATAATCTTTTGGTGTTTTTGTTCCCTATAATGAGAGTTCTGTACCTCAACTCTGTCGTATCATCTCCAAACTTTTTTTTTTTTTCCCTTTTTGTCTTTTTTCCGTGTCCGGCAACGGATCGCAACCCTCAGTGTCGCCCCCGTACCGGACCGGGACCGGCAACGGGATCGCAACCCACAGTGTTGCTCCCGCGCCTCGCTCAGCCAGTGAGCAGGAACCGGTATGTGGGATCCGAACCCTCGGCGGGAGCGCCACCACACTCCCAAGCGGCGCACTACAGCCGTGCGCCACCGGGCCAGCCCCATCTCCAAACTTTTTTGATCACTCACCCCCATCAATAAAAGCTTTGAACATGTACTCCCTGCTGTTACTGTTGATAAAAATTATTGTACTCCCACTAATAATATTATGTATATTATAAATAATAGTTTGTGATGTGGTGAAATGAAGTTCTGGTTCTTAGCTGAGTATAAATTTGTGTTTAGGGCAACTTCCCCATCCATGCCTTCGACAAAGCCTTAGAACAACAGGAGGCAGAGAGTGACTCTTCAGATGTTGAAGAAAAAGACGACGAAGAAGATGATGAAGTAAGTCTTGTTTGTTTTTGTTTTGTCAAGCAGAAACCTATAGACTTAGATCTATTTTTATATAATTGAGAGACTGAATATCATCTTAATGATTTCAGTCTTAAGCAGAAATCATTTGATCATTTTTTTCCATCGTGAGGTTAACTTTGATTTAGCAGTGGCTGCTTTGTTCTCCAGACTCAGCCAACAAACTATTTGTAAGATAAATTTGTCATATTTACTGGCATTCTAAAATTTTTCCTGCATGGTGACAAATTATAAATCCCTCGCTTTATACAGATTTTAACCAATTAGAAGGATGTTTTACCTCTAATGATTTAAATCAGGCATGAGAATTGTCTGACATCCCTAACATTTTTTAATTCATAAGTATTAAACTTGAGAATAACTAAATTTTGGTTGCCTGCTAAGAAGACTCTGATTCTGATTATGTTATTTATCAAAAAAATAAAAGTAGATGCCTAAACCGAATCTTCATTATGTATTTGGAATCTAACAGCTATGTTTTATTTTAGGATGTGGGAAAAAGAGAATTTGTGGAAGATGATGAGGTGGATGAGAGTGACATAAGTGATTTTGAGGTGAGCTTTATAGTAAAAAATAATTGTCCTTTGGCTTGCAGCAAAAAAAAAAAATAGGGTTTCTGAACACAGACAGATAAATAAGTCCTGTAGTTTGTTCTAAATTGAGGGGACAATCAAGGGAGTATGGAGAAATCTCGCTTTTTCTCTCTTCTTTTACCTTTTCTTTCCCTCTATTAGGATATGGATAAACTGGATGCCAGCAGTGAGGAAGATCAGGACGATAAATCATCCAATGAGGAGGAAGAAGAAAAGGCCCTTAATGCGAAACACAAAGGCAAAACACCCTTGAAAGGACCATTGCAGAGAAAACGAGCCTATGTAGAGATAGAGTATGAGCAGGAGACAGAGCCCATGGCCAAGGCCAAAACCACGTGATTCCCCTTCAGACAAAATGAGACTGAACATTTGGAACTTCTTTTTTATCTTAAACATGTACACACCTCCAGTTTTTGCTCTTTCATGTTGTATGCAACACAATATTTATGTTTTTAATATTTATGCGACTTCAGTGGGGCAAGAAATCTGGAATGAGTAGAAGGAAGCCTTAATTTGTGAACAGAGTATTTTTATAGCATATATGTTGAAGTAACAGCTTGAGCCCAAGAAGCTTAACAGATGAGTTCTTGAAGCCGGGATGAGATTGTGGGTATAAATATTTCTAAATTTTAAATGCTAAATTCCTTGGTGTCGTTTTTTTCTCCCAAACTTTATTTAGAAATGGTGGAACTTCAATTTTTTCTTGTTCTTTCCCTCCTACAGAGGTAAAAGGAAAGAAAAAAGGAAAAAGAAGCTCTACTTACAATGTTTAGTGTGAAAATACATTTTCCTTAAATAATTTCAGTCATACAATCTGGGACAGAAAGAAAATCCTTTCCTCTTGGGAAAGTAATACAAATCTTAAATTGCATCGTAGGGAGCGCCTTCAGAAACCTGCTGCACTTTTCTCATACAGTTCACCACCTTGCTGTCTTCACAGCTTTGGAGGATTTTGGCCAGGAGACTCTGAAACATGAAACATGAAAGCAAACAGGTTTTGATATATTTTCCCCTCCTTTTAAGCCTTGTTTCTTTTTTTCTTGGTATTATACTCAAAGAAGGAAGGAATGGATAATACTGGAGTACAGTTCACCAAACATTCAGAACAGGTGTTGCTGTAGAAACTGGTAATGTGCTTGCAGATGTCCTGCAGGCTCATAAAGCAGCAGCTTAATTCCAACCAAGGCAAATTAGGTTAGATGTAGTGCTTGGGGACTCCCCAATATTAAAAGCCTAAAATGAAATAATTTGAATAAACTGACAAAACAACAAACCATACTATCTAAATATTTTTAGGATACAAATTTCTTTTCATGCTGCCTTCAGTCTTTCAAATTAAGATTTCTAAATGGGGTAAGAAAAGAGGCAGTAGTTTATCACATACATATAAAACACATATAGCTACTATACGCTATGGCTTTGAGAAATTAACTTCTGTGGAATATGGAACCAAAGAAAGAATTCCTATGTGGATAGATAAGAATGTGGAAAAACATCTACCTAAGAGATGCTTATCCCTGAAAAACTGGAAGCATTTCTGGTGTCTGAATTACTCTACATATAATGCTCCATGAGGCTTATTGCCCATTATTTAATTTTTTTAATTCAGAAGACTAGAACAGAACTTAAATTTTACACACTTTGTCATGATGCTTTTCACATTCTCTCGTCCTTTTGGTCTAAACAGTTCTGAATAACTTTAAAAGAAGAATTAGCTTTTGATCAAACTCTATTGAAGGCTAGAGGGCTCAGAAGTAGAGACTTAAAACTCTCCATGTTCATTTTCAGACTTGGTCCGGCACATAAAAGTTAATTATAATTAATCATAGGAAATACCTAACGATAATGAGGTCCAAATGAAACTGAGTTGCAGACTCTGCCTTACCTTCACCTGTCCTTGAGAACAGTGGTCCAAGACAATCAGGCAGTCTGTGGCCTCCTGTAGCAGGGCACTCTTAACAGGCTCAGGTGTAAGGTTCGGATCCCTTGCTACATCACATATCAGTTTCAAGAGAGCCTTCAGTAAGACCACAAGTCTGCAGGAAACTCTGGAATCAAGAAGAAAAACTATGTTTATATTCTCAATCAGGATATTAAAATTGGAAGAGACTTCAAAGGCTGTCTAGAGGAAAGCCCTCATTTCATTAAATGAAAAGAACCAGAGACCACACTTCATATTTGTTAACCTCAAGTCTCCTGTTATTTCTATAGCATACTGCATGTGTACACACACACACCTGCCCAAGAATGCCTTGCTTCCTTCCAGAAACGTGGTTCTACAGTAAGGAAACAGCCTCATCATGGGCTGAGAAGGGGGATCTCCCCTTACCAAGGGCCTGTACTTTTGGCCAGAGAACAGGAGAGAACCCAAGATCCTTTAGATCTTATGCCATCTTAGGCCTGGAAGTTAAAAATGGAGGGAAAAAATAAGTTTGGCTTCTGGGACTTAAGTGTCAATTTGAATTTCCTGTCATTTAATTTCAGATCTCATCTTACCATCATTTAAGTCCAGGGTATTTACTTCTAAATATTAACCATTCTAAAAGTTTTCAACACCTTGATAAAAAAGTTTTGGAAAAGGGCCAGCCCGTGGCTCACTTGGGAGAGCGTGATGCTGACAACACCAAGTCAAGGGTTAGGATCCCCTTACCAGTCATCTTTAAAAAAAAACGTTTTGGAAATGGATAGCAGAGACAGCTGCACAACACTGTGATTACACTTATACCACTGAATTGTACACTTTAAACTGATAAGTTTTATGTATTGATGCTGACAACACCAAGTCAAGGGTTAAGATCCCCTTACCAGTCATCTTTAAAAAAAAAACGTTTTGGAAATGGATAGTAGAGACAGCTGCACAACACTGTGATTACACTTATACCACTGAATTGTACACTTTAAACTGATAAGTTTTATGTATTTTTTTACCACAATTAAAAAAACCCTAAAACTTAATGAAAGCTGGAAAATAACTTGTAATGTGAAAATATGCACAATAAACCATATTTCTGGACAGAAAAGTTTTCATCTGAAAAATATTCAGCATTTTCCTAAGATTTGTGTACCTCGTAGCCCTCCATTAATCACTCAACTTACAGCCTGCTGTTTTCTCCACTTCCATGCTCCACCCCCTCATACACAGACCAAACATATTCCTTTAAGCTTCCTACATTTTGTTCATCTCTCCCTTGGAATCTTGGTCTGTGCTCTTTAAAGGCTTATCATATAATCTGATTCAATTTCATTCATCCATCCATTTTATTTCAGTCCATTCATTCTTCAATATTTGTGTACCTAATACCTGGTGCTGAGTATACTTTGGGAGAAAGTAACAGATGCGGTCTTCCATTCTGGAATTTTTAGTTTGTCTGACAAACTAAAACAGTGAAGACAGTAAACAAATGCAATTTAGTTACGAATGTGACCAAGGGAAAGACAGTCATTGGGGAAACTGACTCTGCATCCCTTGTATATTTATAAGGAAGTGAGAGATAACATGGTGCAGAATAGATATTACATATTCAGGCACCAGATTCTCTAACTGAATTAAACTTTCAGTTAATTCACGGAAGAAAGCCTTTTGCTGACTCAAAAGTTTGGGTTCCAGTTTGGATTTATTCCTGACACCTACCCCAAGCCAGATTTGGAATGCCTTCTAAGCAAGCATATCCTAAATTAGTACTCTGATCACTGCAGATGTTATGATATGCTGTGAAATACTCCATTCTCAATTACATTAAGGAACATGAGGATGAACAAAATGAAGCATGTCTTTATTACAGCACTTCTAAATGCCCTTTAATATTCTAATATACATTGTTAGCTGAGAGAGATGTACAACTTGCAGGGTTTCCCAACTTATTTGACCATACAATTTTTTTCCCCCCAGGGACATCAAAGAGTACCTCGGTAGGTTTTCTTCAGTACACCAATCTAAGCATTCTTAGGACATCCTGGAGTTAAAAGAGAAGCGATTTAATAGTGTCAAAATCTGGAACTGATGCCTGATGAAGAGTCCAAATATGAGCACCTTAAAGTAACTACAGGTATATTTTATCTTTCCAATGCCATCTTCTCACTTCAAAATCCTATAGGTGTGTGAAAATGTAAGGTATTCAAACACATAGTACTGGGCTGGCCAGTTAGCTTACTTGGGACAGCATGGTGCTGGTAACACCAAGGTCACGTGTTTGGATCCCTGTACCAGCCAGCTGCCAAATATATGGCATGTCCTGAATACTTTGTACTGAATGTACATCTGGGCAAGTTCCAAAGAGAAAATCGGCTGAGGTTTTGCCCCTTTTAGCACACCTATCTGCTTGGCTGCTATACCTGGGCCAAGTATGCTGCATGAGAAGTTTTAAGGTTTCCAGTATCTTCAATCTAGCCTCCTCCTCTGGTCCATCATAAACCTCCAGATAACCAAGGATGACTCGTTCCAGCCTCTTCCAGTGCCGGACAGTTAGGATCCCCAATCTAAAAATAAAAGAGGAAATGTTAAGACAGAAAGTTGAAGTTGGGGAGTATGGCCGGACCAGCAGCCCAAGGACTGACTCACCTCTTCACAAAAGCTGGCAGGTTTCTCGCATAGGTCCTGCGTAAGAGAAGCCGGTGCTCTGGCTCCATGTGGGTCAGGATCAGCTGCAGTACCTCATCACAGTGTGTGGTGGGTCGAGCTGCATCCCCCTTCCAGTGCAGGGCTTTCTCCAAGACAGGGAATAAATCCAGCAGACACAGCAGCACAGCCTAGGAGGAAGGAATGGAAAGAAACTGTATATAGTTCATCTATTTGCATTCACAACACTCACTGATTTTTCTAGGAACTTCATTCAGCTACTGCCCTTGGGGTCCTTGTTATACAATTCTAAAAGACACAACTAATAAATACAATAAGTGCATATCACTTTATATTTTTTCAAACTCTTTTTGCATTCTTTATCTCCATCTGACAGTCTCAATACTTTCTCCTTAGGACTGTTCTTTGCTAATTAGTTTTTTTGTTTTGTTTTGTTTTTGTTTTTTAAAGATGTCCGGTAAGGGGATCTTAACCCTTGACTTGGTGTTGTCACACCACACTCTCCCAAGTGAGCTAACCGGCCATCCCTATATAGGGATCCAAACCCGTCGCCTTGGTGTTATCAGCAGCACCACCCTCTCCCAAGTGAGCCACAGGCCAGCCCTCTTTGCTAATTTGTAAAATGGGAGGAATGGCAAAGCTGGGACTTACCCAGATTTTAGGAATCTGGATAAGTCTGTTGTCACTAAGTCTAACTGATTTAGTGATACATCATATTTACATGTAATTTCAATAAAACTGGTCCAAAATATAATCTAAGATGGTCTAAAACACTATTTTAAACAAATTTTATCACCCTATCTGAAGTTTTAGTGTCTAGGCATTCCTTTCTAGCTCTCCTGGTATCTTTGGTTTTTCTCTTAGTGTTTTGGGTTTTTAAAAATCTCTTTCTCCACCACCTTAAGAGCCTGCTGTGGTTTGAATGTGTCCCCCAAAGCTCATGTGCAGGAAACTTAATCCCCAATGCAACAGTGTTAAAAGGTGGAAACTTTAAGAGGTGATTAGGTCATGAGGGCTTTGCCCTTGTTAATGGATTAATGCCTTTATCAAAGGAGTGG